ATTTGTGTTCCCCGTTTTCAACTAGATGTCCAGGGTATGGTTGAGAATCTACACTAACAATAATACTGGACATCACAAGATTTTGTGCAGCCCGACTTTTAAAAACCTCAGCTTGAAAATAAAACATTTAGGTTTAACAAATCTGACAAGCTAATGGCTAATCTGAACTCAACACAAACAAAAGTAGATTGCTGCCATATTAAAACTTGAATTTTGTTGTTTTTTTAGTGCTTATAAGATGCCAGTGATTTAGTTTGGTTGAGTTCATTTAGACCTCATTGATGACTGAATAATGGCTGGTCTAAACTGACCTACGTCTAAACTGAAGCTCTGTGAAGATATCAGTAAATTCGTATTTTTACCAATAAAACATTTTGWAAGTAAAATGTGAAAGTTTTTTCAAACATTATAAATACAACCAGGTGTCCCCACCTTCTCTCCTTCTTTACCCTTTAACTGAATTGAASCCTAACCATGAATTGAAAAAAATTCTGTTGTATTTTTGGAACCAGGGTCCAGATTAGGATTTTGGATGGTTAACTGTCATGCATTTTCGGACTCAWCCGACTCCTCCTTGTTCTCATCTCATCAATAACTGAYGTGAGGGGGTTACCCGATGYGTCAAAACMAGACGCAGAGGGAAACTAGACCAAGCGTCAATATGTGATGAGTTGAAAGTGAGAATGGGCTGGTGCTCTACAGATGTGTGGCTATAAGTCCAACCCTAACCCTWTCTCCATGATCATGTGCGTATTAAGATGTGTACTGGGACCAAAAGGTTGCTCCCATTTCAGCTTTAAATTACGTTTATAAACTGTTTAGAATAGTGTCGACTTTTTAATCCAAAGGACATTTCCTTGAATCTCAAACATAAAAATTATTTTATCTTTTGTTAATTTATAATGTACATTGTATAGAATCTATTTAATGCCAAAACGCAGCACAAAAGTCCTCAAGGTCAGTATGTTATCCCCCAGAGTTGTCCTGCTGCGGTAATGTGAGCATGTTGATCTCACCCATGCTGCCTCTGCAGATGGTTGACTCCAGGAATGCTGCCAGGCATTATGGGATCCCCGTGAGTTAAGGAAACATCCTATTTTTAGGAGGTATAGGAGCCTGGCCTCCTGAAGAAGAATTTGAGACACAGCCACTTGTATATTATAAAGTGTAGTGGCTTGCTATGTAAATGTATGTTGTTTTTTTTTCGTTGTATGGTTGGATTTCAAGGTGCATGCCAGTTGCAAACATTTGCAGGTGCTAAGCCTAAAGAGCTGTGTCAGTGGTTGGAGGGTGTGTCCGGAGGATCCCRGTGGTGTGACTGAATGTGGTGCAGACATGTAGTGTTAGATTGCTCAGATGGCTGCCTGCCTGGCTGCGACCTTTGGGACAATGGCTGATTGATGACAAGGACAACTGGCAGCAAATACGAGACATGGGAGTAGGAAGGATGCAGGGCCTCTGGGCTGCAGGAATYGGTTACTGTTTTATTTTCTCATATTACCATAGACTGAACTAAATAAAGTTGTGTGTAAGACCTCATTTTGTAATAACCCATTATGTAATAATGTAATAAAATCAGGCTTCAAAATGTAATAAACTCACGCTAAAACCGAATTATGTAATAATTGACGCAAAATGTAATAAAAGTCTTCAACGCATTATGTAATAACATTATTACATTTTTCGGCAATTATTACAAAATGTGGTGGTATAATAATCTGGTGCATTATGTAATAAACAATCAAAAACCAGTATTTCTGTTCATCCTAATCAATATACTTGTAATAAATGTCATGTTGAAAATACTAATCTTTATAACTTTGGTCAATAAACACCGAACGTCTCATCTTTTATTTGCCTTTTCAGATTTACTGTCCTGATCCCTGTTACAGAAATTATTCCACTATGTAGACAACTCTCAAAATATATACATTATAAAAGTTTGTTGTACATACATGTCAACTCCTTCAGACGTTTACATGTATGAACCTTAAAAATCTGTAATTTTTGTTTAAAAAATCTGTATTAATCACAAGTGGTGGTGGGGTGGGGGGTGCAGGCGGACCATCAGCCACGGAGGGCAGGGGGGCGGGGTGCAGGTGGACTGTCGGCTTCTGTATCAGAAGGAAATGAGGATGGAGGAAGTTGTTTCTAGCAATAGAGATGTTAATAATTGTTTTTATATCCTACAGGCTCTGACATGTTGAATAAATTAGAAACTAAGTTTTTGAAAGATTCCATAAAACATGAAAGAAATCTGTGAGATTGCTCTATACATCCATCTACACAAGAATTTGACTGAAAATGCAAATAAAAGATGAGACGTTCGGTGTTTATTGACCAAAGTTATAAAGATTTAATTATGTACTATTTTCAACATGACAGTTATTACAAGTATATTGATTAGGATGAACAGAAATACTGGTTTTTGATTGTTTATTACATAATGCACCAGATTATTACACCACCACATTAAGTAACAATTACCGCAAAATGTAATAACGTTATTACATAATGCGTTGAAGACTTTTATTACATTTTGCGTCAATTATTGCATAATGCGGTTTTAGCGTGAGTTTATTACATTTTGAAGCCTGATTTTATTACATTATTACATAATGTGTTGTTATTACAAAATGATGTCTTACATGGTGTTATTTCATATTAAACATTTTTAAATCAGAGGTTCCCCCTGGGTCAGGATTTGGACTTAAAACATCTGGGAGTGACAGGAAAGGAGTCAGAAAACCTCCTGTATGCCTCCCTCTGGAGGGGTTTCTGGGCACGTTCCACTGGAAGGGATTCGAGAGATTGAGCGCTAGCTTGCTGGGCCAGTCCACCATGGTAGGGTTAATAGGAAATTAATTATTGATTTAAGATGCTGTTACACTGAAGTGAAGCATCTAAAAATCAGTTAATTTTGCTGTGGGTGGGTGGAAGATGTTTCTGTAAGTAAAAGGTCTGCTTTTTCTCTCCTGTCAAGTGTCGACTTGTAAAAAGACACCAGATCTAACAAACAGACCGTGCGTTCATAGGTGCACCAATAAAACCTCGAGGTGTCTCCATGAGTGTCTGACATGTTGAGTTGTAGGTTAGGTTAGAGAATGGAATACATTAGAGTTTTCAAAAGATTGTGTTTTAGTTGTCTGCTCAAAAAATGCAATGGTGACATTTAAAAACACAGTTCTGGTGCTCCTGAAACACCAATGTGCATGAATGAAACAATAAAAAACTTAATGTTTTTAAATGACTTAGTTCTGGTGTGGATGGATCGTATGATGGGGATGACTCAAAAACTGTCGCACCAAGTTAGACCTCAGTTTCTGTAAAACTATTTGAGATATAATTTTTGTGTATTTTTAGTTTTGTGCTGATGTCTATTTGGCTCATAAACACAGTAACTTGTAGATGTGCATCCAATGGTTAGACACTTCACCCACCTTGCCTACTGATGGTGGTCAGAAGGTCCAGTGGTGCCGKTGCATGGCAGCCCTGCCTCTGTCAGTGTGCCACCATCAGTGTGTGAATGAGTGAATGATTGTGGTGTAAAGCGCTTTGCGGTCCCCTTGGGGCTTGATAAAACACTATGTAAGTTCAGTCCATTTACCATTTACTTTTAAAGAGTTTCAACTGAATCTGCCCACTTCATGAAATAACACCTGCTAACACCTTGATAAACTTGATAAACTGAGTTAACCACCACAGATGAGACCATACGATCCAAACTCTGCTCAATTTCTCTGTCTAATGGTTTTTGTCTCTACCCTCTTTGACTTTACTTCATTTGTTGAACTTTTCCCCTCCACACCAATTATTAGTAACCATGGAGGCCTGATACAACTGATGCAACAACACAAAGAGCCTATTATTCAACAGATGCTCTTGTCAGGACTGAAATAACAATGAGTAGTGAGGCAAGGCAGGATTATGATGAAAAGGGAAGAGAACCATGCGTACTTATGATACAGTTTGGATCTTATAGATTTTTCTTTTTACCTTTTTACTTTAGACCACACTTGTGTCATTGATTTTGGCACACTTCATGTTTATTTGTGTAGCGTTTATGAGACAATTTGCTTAGTAATATTGTCGAGAATATGTCATGGTTCTAGAGTTTATCTAGCCTCAGAATGATGTCAACTTTCAGTAAGTTCACTGTGAAACCTGCAAACCGACAATGTCAGACCTGAAAAGACGTGTTCCACTTTTACAACCAAAATGAGGAGAAAGGTCATTTAAATTTTAATTGTGTGAAAGAACATCTGTTTCATTCAAAGTTTAAAATAAAGCTCCTGCTTGAAGTGTCTGACTCTTAGCTCCCAGAACACCAGGTTTAACTCAGTACTGATTGAGGGACAYTTAGGATTAGGGCTTTAGCTTAATCCAGACTAGATGTAACAAATGAGACAAATAAACTCTGTCAAAAATAAACACAGTTTTTATTTAGACGGTTTCCAGCATTGATTTTGGTCTGTGGACATAAACTGAAGTTTAGCGATAGTTCTTCCTTCAAAGAATTAGTTTTGGTTGATTTTTTTATGGGTAATATTTTAGTAGCAGATATTTTATGTGATTCTTTTTGAAAAACATTTTCCATGCCATGCTTTTCAAAAGCCAGGAAAAATTTGGATTCCTCTGATTTTTGTAGCCTGCTGCTATGGAAGGTTTGACAGATTGTACATGCTTGTATGTGCGTGGGTTTGTGTGTTTGTGTGTTCATTCATAAGTCTGTCAGCAAAATATCTTGTAAACTACTGAAAGAATGAACTCTCGGAAAGTTTTCGTTGGATTTACGTCAATAAGGACGAAGTGAACATGATTTAATAGATACTAAGTTAAAATACAGTATGGGGTAGTTGTAGCTGACAATCATCCTCGACACACTCTGAGCATTCTGTCCATGCTTTATTGTCATTTGAATTAGCTTTGAATCTTATGAACWTTAATACTGTCTCTATGTGTAATAGAATGAAATCTAAAATAACTTTTGTCTTGTGTAGTTTTTCAGCAGCAGGCCGTCCCCGGGCCTCTGGAGCAGCAGAAGATGAAGCAAGGAGGCGGAGGAGGAGGAGGAGGACCAGTGCCCTGTCAGAACTGTGGGAAGCCCTGTAAAGGAGAGGCTCTCCGGGTTCAGAACAAACACTTCCACATTAAGTGTTTTGCCTGCAAAGGTATGAAACTCAGACCTTAGTGTTTTACATACAGTAGTCACCCCTCAAACAAAACGTTACACAGCAGAACTGGGTGTCTGAAACTGTGAAACACACACCATGTTGGATAAATCCAAGTACTGCTCAGTTGTGTTTTATTAGAGTCACACAGGAAGCAGTGCCCWGCAGCATAACACATGGAGGTTTGGGATGATGATGTCATCAACAGCTGAGCAGCTAAATGGATATAAGTAAATAAGTRTTTGCACGTAATCAGGGTGTCAGGGAGTGGGTGTTTCTGGGTGTGTTGCTGCAAATGTCAGAAGTTTGAAACATAAATAAGGTTTTTATGTACGTGTGTGTGAGTGTGTGTTAACAAATGTGTTCCCAGCTCTGACTCTCAGTCTCGTGTCAGACTGTGTTGTGTTCAACACACATTGTTGTTGCTCAGTAACCAGCAGGGTCGCCACAGTGATGACAGCTTCCAGGAGTTTCTCCTTCATTCTCACATTCTCACAACCTACCATCCAGTCTGTGAGCAAGGCAAAGTGCTGTTGCATTACTCATGATGCATTAGTGAGCAGCTTACCAAAGTGTGACCTTTTCACAGATTGAGTTTACTTTTTAAAGTAGCCAATAAGAGAYCTGTTGGGTGGCTAATAAATGCAGCCACTGGAAAGATCTGATTGAMTCAGAAAATATAATTTTTCTGTAATAACTAGATTATTTAAAAAAAGACATGAGCAGTTATGCACAGATTGGCTCTTTAAATCTGACTCATTTTACAAACTTATTTATTGCATTTGCATGTGCACAAAACYGTCACATTGTGTAAATGAACATCTGGACAAACTGGTTATTCTTCATATCTATAAAAAATCATTAAACAGCTGTTTCAGCACTTAGTGTAGTTTGATAAGGGTTGTTGTAGAAATATTTACTAACGGGCAGAAACACGTGAATAAAAAGAGTGCACTGCACATTCAGTATGGTCATTGATTTAATAAAAGGTTTTGCAAAGGGCAAGACGAGCTGCGAGGTGATCAGGGAGGATCAAAGCCCTGAGCACCACCGCAGACTGACTAGCCGTGGCTACAGGAACRGTTTTGTCAAACYGGGTSGAGCCTCGGAGACCAATCACAAAGTTACAGGTTTACAGCGGGATCAAAATTAAAACAGACATCAGTGGCGTCTTTCAATCATAGGACAGATTATAATAGCAGTTCTCAGAGAGATACAGAATAATAATGTCAAGGCAAATGTCAGCACCGAAACCGCRCTTGTAAAAATCACCAATGATCTTCTCCTTGCTGCTGACTCTGGTCTCCTGTCCATCCTCATCCTCCTTGACCTAAGTGCTGCTTTTGATACAATCTCTCATTCTATTCTCCTCAACAGACTCACATCCATTGGCATCTCAGGTACTGCGTTTAACTGGTTCAAATCTTATCTTTCTGACCGCACTTAATTCATCCAGATTAAATCCTTCCTCTCTGAGTCATCCCCCGTCTCCACTGGCGTGCCACAAGGCTCTGTCCTTGGACCCCTTCTTTTCATTACTTACCTCCTTCCTCTTGGTTACATTTTCTGCAAGTTTGTTGTCCATTTCCATTGTTATGCCGATGACACACTGCTCTACCTGTCAACCAAGCCAAACTCCACACACCCTCCCTCCATCCTCTCTGACTGTCTCAATGAACTCAATCACTGTTTTCAGACAATTTCCTTCAACTGAATAGTGATAAAACAGAAATCATCCTTGTTGGCACTAAAAATTCCATCTCAGAATCTAATAATCTCCTCATCCCTATCAACAACTCTCTGCTAACCCCCTCCCCTCAGGTCAAGAGTCTTGGAGTCATCCTTGACACCACTCTCTCCTTCACTGCTCACGCCAATAATGTTACTCAGTCTGCCTACTTCCACCTCAGAAATATCAACCGTCTCCGTCCACCTCTCCACACCCCGCACCACAGCCATCCTTGTCCACAGTCTTGTGACCTCACGGATCCATTATTGCAACTCTTTTCTCTTTGGCCTCCCAAACAAAACCCTCCATAAGCTTCAGATGGTGCAGAACTCAGCTGCACGTGTCATCACCCAAACCTCCTCCCATGACCACATCACCCCAGTSCTGCMGCAGCTCCACTGGCTCCAAATCACGCATCGTCTTCAAAATTCTTCTTCTCACRTTTAAARCTATCCACCATCTTGCCTCTCCTTACATGTCCAACCTYGTACAYATCTCCATCCCCTCCCGCTCTCTCAGATCCTCTTCTTCCCTAAACCTCCAAGTGCCCACTGCCCKCCTCTCCACYATGGGGAGCAGGGCCTTCACCTGTTCCACCCATCTCCCCTGGAACTCTCTACCACCTGACCTAAGAAACACCACCTCTCTTCCTGTGTTCAAGACTGCTTTGAAAACACATCTCTTTAGA